CCTTGGAGCATCTCTGGATTTGCTGCAGCAGCTCCACATCCTTCTGCTGTTGAGGACCCCAGACCTGAATTCCATGTGGGATCTCACCTGAGCAGGGCAAAGAGGGAGAATCTCTCCCTCTCCTGCTGCCCACACTGTGGGATCAGCTCAGGATCCAGTGTCTTTTTGGGATAAATTCCAGCTTTATCACTGATTTCTCCCTGTTTCTCCTAAAAGTTATAAATTATTCCTCCCAAATCCAAGCCCGGGAAGCTCCTTTAGAGCTGAACTGACGCAATTCCAAAAGGCAGCATTCCAGTGCTGGGAATTGAGGCTGTGCCAGCCTGGATCTGACATCAGGGGGAGCAGAGGGAGGCTGAGATTCCATGAGCTGCCCGTGCCTGGATTTGTGTCACAGGCCCACAGTGCCCTCCCGTCCATCCATGGATTTAAAAACCAGGATCTGGGTGCTCCCTAACCTTTGGAAAAAGCCTCAGTGCTCTGAGGGATTGTGTGGAAAAGGAGCTGCGCTCTGTATTCTCTGCATGGAAAACCAGTGCTGTAAAATCCCCTGGATCCCTGTGCACCTGGATCCAGGTGGGACATCAGGCCTGTTCCTCCCTGTCTCCTGGGTTATCCCATTGATTCGAATCCCGGATTTCCTTTCCAGGACTCCCCTCATGATGGCTTGCACCAGGAAAAACCTGGAGGTGATCAGATCCCTGGTGGAGCACGGAGCCAACCCGCTGCTGAGGAATAAGGATGGCTGGAATTGCTTCCACATTGCCAGCAGGGAGGAGCATCCCGAGGTGCTCCGGTACCTCCTGGATGTGTCCCCAGGGATCTGGGACACGGAGAGCACCATCAGGAGGACACCCCTGCACACGGCAGGTAAAGGGGGGGACCCCTTGAAAGCAGCTGGGTTGGAAGAGGGAGAATGGGAAAGGGATGTTGTTCCTGGGAGAAGGGATGTTGTTCCAGGGGAAAAAAAGGGATGTTGTTCCAGCTTGTGTGGATTTTGGAGAAGCAAAACCACAGGGAGACAGTGGTGGATCCCTCCCAGGAGATCCTCCACTGGCTTTGGCCTCCTTGGAACGAGGTGTCCATCTCTGCCTCCCTGTCATGGATATATCCAAGCTTCCAAATCTTGGAATACCTCCCAGCACACTTTTCCTTGCTGGTGTGTAAAGCTGTGAATTGCCCTTGGGAAAATCCAAGGATTTGCTTGTTGATGGCACTGGGGAGCCATTCCCTGTGTCCTGTCCCTCCATGCCTTGTCCCCAGTCCCTCTCCAGCTCTCCTGGAGCCCCTTTAGGCCC